TAATGTATTTTATCACTAGTGCTTCATTCATGGAAGATACCTTTTTCACAAGAGCAACAAGGAGTATTTACTAGATGTTAATAAGATGGAGGAAAATACAGTAATGGCTTGGAATGACGTTGTTTAGAGAAGCAAAATCAATCGGAAACATTTAAGTTTTCAGATATAGAAGAAGTTGTGACTGTTCAGTATTACCCAAAGTTCTATAGATCTGTTTTGTCTTTGCTGATGAAACGTGGCTTAGGTGAGTGGGCAGGGATGTGGGCTGGAATGTGGCTGAGCTGCCAGGCTCAAAGGCTTGTAGTCAGCAGCATGAACTGCCAGCCACTGGTGCTGCACCCCAGGGACTGATACTGGCACCAGTGCCCTTTAACATCTTCCATAAGGATCTGATGATGAGTCTGTACCATCAGCAAGTTTGCATCTGATACCACATCAAGAGGAGTGGCCAAAGCACCATGTTCTGCTCTTGGTCTGTCCAGGTTCCTTTGAATAGCTGAGCCCTGGATCTCTTCCTTGTCTTACAAGTAAAGCCTTGAAACTCCTGTAAGACATTTGAAGAGTGTAACCTGACAAAATACATAGCTACCACAACAAATAATAAAAATGATTTCTCAGCAGGAACACTGAGCTTTTCAGCAATCATTTCTTTGTCTCAGAAGTAGCTGTTTCAGTATTTCAGCTATTACTGCACTGAAGTATGAACATTTTTTTTATCACATAGGCTTCACTAGGAAAGAAAGAAAAAAGTAAAGGATTGTTTTATAAAGCCCTTCAAAACTGTCCTTGGGCAAAGGTAAGCACAGAAAACAGGTAAACTTGTCATCATATTTTAATTTTTGATGCTTTGTATTTGAAAAGAAGTTTAGCTTTAGTAATTGTTGTAAGAAGTTATATGCAAATGAAAGGAGAGGTTTCTGAGGAAGTAATGTTAGGATTTTCTGCAAATAAGAGATGTATCTCAAATGGAAACATGATCAATAGTCACTGCAGTTTGTGTTTCAGGACAGAAAGGGTTGCATTGAGGCACGGCAGTAAGAAATCCTTTGTGATCTAGAAATGATTGAGTCTTTCAGACTTCTATCATGAGCAGGGTAGTATCAGAAATACATAGCTAAATAAAAATTTATGTAATAATACATAAAAATTATTGAGAGAACGTGCAAATGCAACTCCTTAGGTAATGTCTGTACATGCTGCAAATGCTCCAGTGCCTCTTGAGACCTCCATTTTATCTTTTTGTATGAGTTTGGAAGACTTGATTAAACACCTACTTGGCTGTCACTGAAGGAGTACTAATTCTGTTCCTATTACCTTAAAGAATACATGGTATTTCTTATGTTCTTGCTACAGACTTGTTGCTGTCTACTTACTTTATACTGTGTTTCTTGGTAGAGAGGTAGCACAGAAAATGTTCTTGCTGTCTTTCCAGGTGCTCTATATGGATGCAGTAGAGTATTTCCCTGAGGATCTGCAGGAGACGCTCGATCTCATGACTGAAAAAGAACTGAGAGTGCGGGTGCCTATGGAAGAGCTGGATCTGCTACTGGAGATTTAAAAGAAGACTGTAGCAGAGTGGAGGAAGTGCAGAAGCTGCTTCCAAAGCTAACAATTAGATCCATCTCTTTTCATACAGGAGCTCTGTTGGGACTTGGGTACTATGTACTTGACATTTTTTTGTTGTTAATATTTTATATAAATTCCTATAAAAATGGAGTTCTACTACCTGCAAGTATTCTGGAATCAAGCACTGCATTTTGCCCACAATAATGGATCCATTTCTCTGAAGTATTGCGGGATCCCACAGAAGGATAGGTTCTTTAATAGCCTCCTGTTGGAAGTTGCCTGCATTTCTTACTCTATTGTTTGAAATTACATTCCCTAGGGTTCAGTAGAGGTTCAGTACATGCCAGCTATGGCTTGATGAGCAGCACAGGAAATAAACATCTGCCAAATGGATGCTGCACTGTCCTCCAGCTGGCAGACTTCAGTAATTTCCTTCAGCTTGTTATGGCTGTGCACATGCAACTGCCAAGTCAAACAGCCATTACATCTGTACATATACTGTAAAAGCTAAATTTTTGTTTGAGCAAGCACGTATTTTGGTATGTTTTGACAGATGACCACTTAAATGTAAATCTTTCTGAAAAATATACCTGAATATTTGAAAATTCAAAAGTAACTTGTTTTTTTGTATTAATTTAATAGAACTGAGTATATTAAAAATGAAAACGTGTCCATAATGCTTCTCTAAGCAGCTCACTTCTAAACAAATTTTTGTAATTGATTACTGGCTTTGACTCATTTCCAGGCAATTGTTGTAAGAGAAGTAGAGGTTTGATCTGTATTTGATTCTCATCAAGAGGGCATAGTCTTCCATGATTATTTTAAAAGGAGCTTACAGTCTATGAGGCTTTTAGCAAGCTCCTAGAGAAGTAATATGAAATATGGTAACAATTTAAAGATACAGTTACGTATTTATTTTGTCAAACATGGAAAGGATTGTTTAGCATTCCTACTCTTGAGACCCAAGGACTCAGAAACTGGATTTTCATCTGACACAAGTATACCTGCAGCCACAGAATACCCAAAACTGCTTCAGACAGTTTTCATGAGAAAGCTAATTGTCACTAGCAGCACTAGAGCATGTGGGACCATCCAGCTGGTGAGATTCTACAACACATGAAACCGTGTCTGAACCAAGACTTACAACTTCTAGCTCGGTTTTGCCACCACAGTACAAGATAGAATACACTTTAGTCCAGGCTGCATTTCATTTATTCCTTTCTAAAATTATTTTAAATATTGCAGGGAATATGTATAATTTTAAATGGCATTACAGCACTTCTGAAGAGCCTTTGTAATACTGATGTAGTTGCAAGTGCTGCTGGTTTTGCTGTAATCAGTCTTTGTGAAAAATAGTTTATTTTTTAAATCTTTACTTTCTACAAAAATGACAGAGCTCCTGAATGAGAGGTAGAAGTTACTCTGTACCCTGAACAGTAACATGACAAATTATGCCTGTGTTTGTTAATGCTTTCCCATCACAGCAGAATGCCATTTCCTCTAAAGGGCCATGGGGAGGGGGAGAAGCTTGATTGTGCTCCTGCTTAGTCACAGAGGAACCCAGGTGTTGAGAGGGACCTTGAAAGATCATCTGGTCCAACCTTTAGTGGGACAGGGAGCCTGGGTGAGATTAACAAGCTCTTGCTGCAGTCACATTTGAAAATTTCCAGTGATGGCAGCAATGATTTCTGTATCCATCACTTTTCTGTTCTTCCATGCACCCTGTCTCAAGTCCTTTCCTTTGCAGTTCCTCCCTAAAGCAGCACTTGGGCTGCTTCCTTCCTTTTGATGGTCAGAGGCTTCCTGGAGCAGGTCCTGCCTTTTAATTCAGTCCCCAGTAGCTTTCCTGTCCTTGTGGGGGATATACTTGCTGTTCACTTTCTCCTGATATTTATTACTTTTGTCTTGTCGAGTTCAGAAGCTCTGGCAAAAGTGGCAGCAGTTAAATTCTGCTGCAAAAGCTAAGAACTGAATTTTCAAATGTGTGTTTTTCAGTTCCTGTGGTGGCAGACAGGGTGCTAGAACAGTCCTTGGGTTCATTTCATGCAATGCAGCTGTTCTTCAGGGAGCTGAACCCATCTCTTTGTGGCTGTTGCTTTGAGCCAGCAGTAACAGCCATGTCCCTAATAAAAAGTGCCTTTCTTGCCATGCATGTCATAAAGCTCTTCAGCCCCTCAAGCAACACTGAGATCAACTGCCATGATTAGAAAGTGCTAAAAAATCCCTAGCTTTTGGGACCTTTCCAAGGAGACAGATCTCCTAAGGTTTATAAGAATGGGTAATAAAACTTGTTTTTCTAGCTCCAGATGAAAAACAAATCTATTTCAGGATTTCTGTCATCCAGATTAAATAAAGGACTCCATTCATCTGTAGGGTTCATTTTTAACAATGAGCCACATATTTTTTACAGAGAAAAATAAAATCTCTTGGCCCTGCTGCTGCCATTGTTGTTGGAGCACTGGCAGTGAGCGAAGGCATTGCTCTGGCTGCAACCCTCCACTGTCTGCTACTGGCCTGCATTAGCTCCCACAGAAAGTTCCCAGAACAAAGACTGCACAATGCAGAACTGGTTTGCATGTGGAACTTTTATATAAACCTTAAAGATTACATGTACAACATTTGGAAATTAATTACTTAGAACTTAACAAGCCCTTCACAGAAGAGTACTACACAGGACTTTGTAAGCAGTACATGCATGGCTACAATGGAGCCAGCAGACACCGAGCCCCCAGGGGAGTGGAGCTGTAGGCGACAGAATTGTCTAGGGGGAAGAATTCAAGGTTATGCTGTAGAACACCAAGGCTGGGACGTGTAGTTAGGATTTCTCTGTGCACATCTGCTGCACGCCACACCCTGCACCTCTTGCACTGGGGCTGGTGCCTGATGAGTGTGCATATCCTGCTGTGGGCAGCATGGGGCCCTGGAACCTGTGCCTATGTGTTGGTTCTTTTCAGAGACATTCTGATGTTTATCTGATGAACTGAAACCCTTTTGAGAAAAACAGATTTATAAACTCTAATCTTTAAGTACCCTATCCAAACATGTTTAGATGTTTAAGGTAAGATTACTAGTGAGAATCCATCTTGCTCTTATAAGCTACCTTTAAAGTGTGTCTCACTCACTGTTGCATAATTGTCATTGATTTTCATATATAAATGACTGATGACACTGAAGTTACTCAAAAGTGACATTTGTCCTAGTTAGCCCCTGAAAAAAAGATATAAGAAGGTAATCAAGAACAACAGCAATGCTAGAGTAGTTGTAAGAGACTGCTATGCCTAAGGAGGACTAAGATTTGGAGCACCTGCATTGCTCCCTGCCCACATGGTGTGGGTCACTGAGACAAGCACTTGGGTCACCAGCACTTTTTCGTTAAAGTCAGCAAACACAACAGACAGTTTCATGTAAATAGCAGGGCTTTGCCACCAAAACAATTCAATTCAAATAAACATTTTATTGGGAAGTGAAGAATTACACTGACTGAAAACCCACAACTCACCAGCTTTTAACCTGTTCATGAATGCAAAGTAGCTGTGTGGTTTTACACAAGACTCTCACCATACGGAACACAAAGTTCTGTATAGTTCCTGAAGAGACAGATGACTTAAAGATACAATCCCTCAGGGGTTCCCTCTTGCTTTTTATAGAGAACATTCTCTTTAGACTTTTTGAAATCTTCATTCGTTACTTTCATTCTCCGTTCCCTCAAAGCCATCAATCCAGCTTCTGTACAAATTGCCTGCAACACAGGAAGCAAGAATAATTACACTTGCTGTGCAACCCCTTCACACCACACCCTCAAAGGCAGCTGCATCTTTCCTACTGCTCCAGTAACGGCACAAGTGAGGCCTGTTAACAAACTCTGCATTCTGAAGTTGGATACTGCTGTGTAGCACTGAAGCAGGCTGGATAAAGCCAGGTGAGTGTAGTCAAGAGTTACACTTCCCTGACAGAAAGGCAGCTTTGTAACAACAGCAATTTCCCTGTGCAAGGACAGACACGTGCAGCTGCCTGACGCCTCTGCAGGGAGGTGACAGTTGTGTCGTGTTGGTTTAAGCTCGTGAGTGTGGTAACTGTAGCAAGGGCTCTATCTGCTTTAGAAAAGCAGACAGGATATCGCTGAAGCTTCCTAACATACAGTTGCATTTTTATCTCCCTTGCAACATAGTTCCTAAAAATGCTACTTATCCTGTACTATTTTAAGTACTGTTTAAGATACCTTGCACAAGATTCCACTCTCCTTTTGGTTTCTACTTTGCTACTTTAAAATTTCATATTCAGGTAACACAGGTACATACTCTTACCAACACAAGCTACCTCACAATTATGATTTTGATAATTTCCCATTTGTAAAGCAGAGCACCTGGTACTCATAAAAGGTGTTTTAAACCATCCCACTGTTCCTCAGTGATGTATGCACAGAAAATTGGCGAACAGTTCAGGTGACAATGGTTTTGGATGCAGCAAAAATGAGATTTGATTTTTGCTTTGAAATACAAAGAACGGTGACGTGCACTGACCTTAATATCTGCACCACTGAGATCATCTTTTGCCATAATCAACTCATCCAAAGTCACATCATCTGCCAACGTCATCCTGCTTGTGTGAATCTGAAAGATTCGTTTCTTCGTCTTTTCATCCGGCAGAGGGAACTCTATTTTCCTATCAATACGTCCTGTGCAAAAGAGAAGTTCAGTCTTAGGTTTCTTGCATGCAGCTGCCGGAAACAGCAGGAAGGACACCTGAAGGGTTTAAATGGCAGTAACTCTTAAGCTGGAGCATGTCCAGAGAAGGGCAATGGAGCTGGTGAAGGGTCTGGAGCACAAGTCCTGTGAGGAATATCTGAAGGAACATTTGGGGATGTTTAGACTGGAGAAAAGGAGGCTCAGGGGAGACCTTATCACCCTCTGCAACTGCCTGAAAGGAGGCTGCAGCCAGCTGGAGGTTGGTCTCTTCATCCAGGTAACAGGTCAAGAGAAAATGGCCTAAAGTTCACATGGGGAGGTTTAGATTGGATATTAGGAAAAATTCCTTCATGGAAAGGGTCATCAAGTATTGGAACAGGTTGCCCAGGGAAATGGTGAAGCCACCATCCCTGGATGCTCAAAAGAGGCGTAGTAGTGGCACTTGGGGATGTGGCTCAGTATGGTGGACTTGGCCATGATACCTTAATGGTTGGTATTGAAGAAGAATGACCTGAAGTCATGTCTTGCAGTAGAAAGCAAGGTCAGACTATCTCCTTCAATTCTGGCAAAGTATTATCTCCTCTGTACTCTAACAGCACTGGCTTTGAGCTGAAGGGTCTAAAGCTAAATGATGACAAAACCAGAGCAAACACATACCTCAGCAGCTTCATACCGTGGAGGTATTTCAGCTTATTCCTTTCATCTCTGAGTCATTTTCTACCTTACAACTTAACAGACAGCACAGACATACTATGCTTTGGTACATTTTTAGTGGCCATTTAAAAATACTACCTGTGCCTGCTCAAGCTCAACATGTCTCCCTCACTCATCCCCCAAATGGCAGGAGTGTGCCAGGTCAGCAAGAGCAGCCTGCTTTCCTTGCACCAGGCTGTCTCTGGGAAAGCCTAGGCTCTCACCCCCAAAAACAGAGGTGCTGCTCCCCTGCCTTCCCCAGCTGCTGCAGCTGTGCTGCTGCTGCACACAGCTTCCTTAACAATTACTTAAAATGGCTGTGCCATCTTAATAGAAAGGAAGACTTTTCATATTGTTTATGTATATGTAAAGGAATGAACACATTTCTTCTCTTCCAAAGATTTTTCTCCTATTTGGAAGCTTCTGAATAGGTTCTGATTTCAACAGATGCACCAGTATAGATGAGATGGTGAATAAGAACAAGTTTGCAGTCTTTTTACCAGCCTGTGTTTGTCAAGTTATGACAAGTCCTTTCACAAGAAAAGTGGCTTAAGCATAGACAGCAGGGAAGTCCCTTACCTGGTCTAATTAAAGCTGGGTCCAGTGTTTCTATTCTGTTGGTAGCCATGATAACTTTAACATCCCCCCGAGAGTCAAACCCATCCAGCTGGTTCAGCAGCTCCAACATTGTGCGCTGGATCTCTCTCTCACCCCCCGAATTTGAGTCATACCTTTTAGAAAAAAAAGCATAGTCAGAAAAAGCACTAAGTAACTGGCACAAAGGTATAAACAAAAGGGGAAGAGGGGTATTTCGTCTGTAAACATCCATAAGACATTTAAATAAAAACACTAATGTTTATCCATATAAACAAAACACAGGTTTTCACATTCATGTTGTGACATCTAGGTAAAGTAAAGAGACACTGAACAATTCTTGTAGCTGGGGAATGTAACAGCCATCATGTGAAAGAGATCTGGGTTTTTTTTACATGTTTTTTATATATTTGGAAATATCTTCTTCCCACCTAATAAAATCAACATAAAAAGGAAAAAACCCTAATTCTTCAAAGCACATACATCCATACATAAAGCAGCAGCTGGCACTTTGGGCTGGTAGCAGCTTTGGGTTTGTGGCCTTGTAGTAAACACGTATTTTTCTTACCTTCTTATTTATTTAAAGAACACTGACTACATTAAAGACTATTTGCATTGGACAGTTGCAAGAAACCTACAGAATTTTCAAAGTAATACAGTTTGGATATGGGCTGAACAACAGTTTAGTGTGGCACAAGCAATGCTTCTCCATGACATACACCTTCTGTAAAAGACTCTCAGAGCAGAAGTATTTAGCCACCTACTCAAGAGGCAAACAACAAATGGATATATTCTATATTAAATATTCCGCTTTACCATTGGATCACTAAAGCAAATTACTGTATATGGACTTGCAGCTAGAGAATCCTGTACACAGTGTCTCTTCCTGGTTTTGACACTCTCTCCTGGAGATGCTGCCATGTAACAAGAGAACAGAGGTTCTCTCAGGTCATGTCTATTTAGTACGAAAAGGCTGTGATATATTGTGTTTCCACAGAAATTATTTGAAGTGTTACTTGTTACAAATGCTTACAATAAAACAGTGTATGCGAATGGTAGCAAGAGCAATGAAACTGATTCTCAGCACGGCTGCAGAAGTGTTTCTGGTGAAGCTGCCGTTGCCCTGGCAATGCCCGTGTGTGCAGAGCCCCTGTACCTCTTTGTACCGATGGCATCGATCTCGTCGATGAAGACGATGGACGGGGCGTGCTCCTCAGCCACGCGGAACAGCTCGCGCACCAGCTTCGGGCCATCCCCCAGGTACTTCTGGATCAGCTCCGAACCAACCACTCTCAGGAACGTTGCTGATGTTTGGTTTGCCACCGCTTTGGCCAGTAAAGTTTTGCCTATTTTTAGTTGGAAAGAAATATTGTGATTAGTTTGCAGAGAAGGAAAAGAGAAAGAAAAAAGTGGCTTAACAGAACAGTTGTATGAAATTTGTGACACTTGGCAGTGTTTTAAATACTAACCAAATGTAAATTATTTTACTTGTATTATCTCAGCACAGGGGTTACTGACTGCAAAATACCTGTGCCAGGTGGGCCATACAGAATGACTCCTTTGGGTGGCTTTATACCCATCTCTTCATAATATTCAGGATGGGTGAGAGGAAGCTCCACAGACTCCTGAAGCACAAGAAAAACATGTTTTTATAAGACTGAGTGGTCTCCAACAGAGATCTGTAGGAATCTTCAAAACAGCAATAATGAAGGCAGTGAAGGCAAATAGAACTTAACTGATTTCAAGACACACATCAAACAGCATGACCCTTGCTGCCTCCTATTTTAAGGCAGACAATTACTTCATCTACACAAGTCTTCCTATTGTTTCCACCAGTGAACATTCCCCCTCCTCCATCCTCAATGCATCATCCCGGATTTAGAACCCTGGAGCTCCTGAACCCGAAACAACCATGGATGACCTTGGGGACAGGGAACTCTTTATGAAAAGGTGCCTTCTATAAGGAGTTACCAGATACCATCGATTTTTAGACACCCAGAACAAAAGGGTTGAGTTTTAGCATGGTTCAGGCAGAGTTCTGCTGGTAGGGAAAAAACCAACCAACCCAACACACCCCAGCCAAACAACAAACAAATGCCGAAACAAAATGAGCAATTGCCCTGAAAGACTAAATCCTTAAGTTAGATTGGACAGCATCAGACACCCAAAATAGCCTCTGCAGTTTTTACAATTTAACTGTCATCTTGCAACAACTGAAACTTTGCCTGTTGCAAAGTAATAAGCTATTAGAGAGATTTTATGAGCTCTGGGCTCTACAGGTTCCTGAGCTACCATGAAAGGTTCCTGTGCACACAGCCTCTGGTGACCCACTTAAAACACTGAGGTCCACAAGTCTGCCTAGTGAAGTTCAATGAAGAAATGCATTACAGAAAGATAAAGGACACCACTACAGGAACAGCAGCCAGTCCTGCTGCTTCCCTTCTCAACTCCTAGCACCACAGCTACATTGCTGGCTTAACTGTCAATGAGTACAAGGGAATACCTTGATTTCTTGAATCTGGTTGTCAAGGCCACCAATGTCAGCGTAGGTTTCTTGAGGAGCTTTCTCTACTTTCATCACAGTCACTAAAGGGTCTGTGTCATCCATCAGGACTCCTATCACAGCATGAACCTAGTTCAAGAATTAAGAGTTGTCAAAGAAGGCAAGCAGTGTTTTTAATACAAGCTGAAGTCTAATTCTTATGCCCATTTATTTAGGTGTGTGAAATAAATAGCATTCTCTCTCCTCTGGTCTTCAGAAAAAAAAAAGGCCAGTTAAAAACAGTACTAGAACTTGTAAGAAACTTGATTTTATAAAAACAATTCACCTTATGATTTAGCAAAACAGAGCAGCCTGGCTCCAGCAGGTCCTTGTCCACAAAAGACAGAATACTGACATAGTGCTCAGATCCCACTGATGTGGACACAATGGCGTGGTTGTCATCAATGATCTCCTCCAAGGTACCCACAGACATCGGTGTTCCCCTCAGATCATCCACCTTGGACCTTTCCTCCTGTTGCCAACACAAACCCAAGAAACAACTGAACAACACAGGCAAAAACATTCTTGTACAACACTGGCTCAACACTTCAGACAGAACAGAGCAGAACCAGTCTTTCCTACTGCTCTACTGCCCCAAAAACACAGAGGTCAGTAACAAAACCCACTATTACTTTAGTCCTACCCTATGGACACCACTCATGTGGATGTGAATAACCAGAATCTTCTTTCTCTGTTGATGGATACCTGTGAGCTGTACTTTGACTGAGCATTAAGAAACAAAAAACTCCCATGGCTTCATCTGTATTGATCTGTGCTTGGTCTAAAACAATTCAGCCAACTAATGAGGAATTGTGATAAACCTGATATGTCAGCACACTGCTGGTACTTTATTTCCACTGCTCTGATATGAAGTGGCTCACATTAATTAAGAGCATTTACTGTAACATTAGAAATAACACTTCACTCAAACCTCACCTCTTGTTTCTCTTCCAAAGGTTTCATCTGTTCTTGATTTCTGATAAACTCTTCCTCCATTAAGAGGTAATCTTTAATTCTCTCCAATTTCAACAACTTGAGTCTGCACTGTGTGTGAGGAGTCACTGTAACCAAAGCAGAATCACAGTATTTTACAACAACTTTGACATGGTACCAACTAACCACTAATTCACTACTAGAAATCCTGCTTTATTTTCCTGACTGTAACTTGTACCTTACTTGTCCCACTGAAACTCCAGGCAAAAAACAGATTTAACATTTCCCCTAATTTCTGTCTCTTACCTGGGTGTTCATGGGCTGCATCTTGCCAAACAATAATCTTATTCTGTGGGAGGCTTTTTCATGTTAATTAGAAATAAAATTACATTTGGCATGGTGTTAGTGCCCTCCACAGAGGCAGGTCCTGAGGAGAGGAGAGCTCTGTACTTCCCGAGGAGCAGACAGTCCTCAGCTCTGCAGGGGAGGCAGAATGCTTACCCAGGGGGAGTTTGCTGGCAGCATCTGGTCCCTTGGTCTTCTTTTTCTTTTTCCCCACTCTGGTTGGAACTGGAGGTTCATATTTCTTCTTCTTGTCCTTATTCATAAAATGAATTCAATAACAAAATTTAAAAATCAGGATAGTAACAAGTAAACAATACACACAGGGGTTAAGTGCACAGACTGAAAAAGAGCTCGAGGTGAAGGACTTCACAACAAAACTTTACGATCTGTAACAAGAAGCTCAAAAGAAACATTGCTCTTTTTTTTAAGAATGTTCAAAAACTGCTTCTCCTGTTTATTTTACATCCCTCTTTCTAATTTAAACTTCTGCCATTTTTCAGTGAATACAGGACAAGGAAGGCTCAAGGCTGAAGTAAATCACAAACAAAACTAACAGATGAGACAATGAGAAAAAATACCAAATCTCCAGCTTCCTGCTGCACTTCAGTCAGTCAGTCAGTCAGACACACTCAGCTTCCCAGCCTCGCCACTGCCTGCCATGCACACTGTGCTCTCCGTTTGCAAAGGAGACCAGGAGGCCCTGGTGTCCCACAACGTGAAGCACACTCCTGCTGCAGATCACTGTGCAACGACACCTCCAAGCCAGCAACAGCTCCTTAAGTGACAGCCTGAAAGCAGCTAGTCTTTCCTAACCCTCACACATTTATAGCTTTATTTTTTTAAAAAACAAGTCACTGTGAAATTTCAGTTTTTCTTAAGCTCCCTTTTTTATTTATGAACAATATTTGTTTTCTGCAATGTACACCCGGAAAAGACTCTCATTAGAGCCAGCAAGAGCATAATTTTATGCAGTTCCAAATACAACAATTATTTTTAAAAGTAAATGTTAAAGGCATATTGCAGCTAGGCTCTGCAGCAGCACACTTGGAGTTCATTCTGTAAATATTTATTTGGGTTACCTTGTCATCCTTCTTGCTACCACCAGGACCATGTCCACCACTCTGACTTTGACCCTAGACAAAAGGCAAAAAAACAAACGACAAAAACCATCATATATGAACAGTTCTATGAATCGAGACGTCTGTGGGCAAGTCCACGTACAGAAATCCCGTAATTGCATTTCTCCTGTCTAAAAAAGCGCTAACTTAGCCAGCTTATTGCCCAGAGCCGAAAAGAAGAGTCCCGCCCGGCCCCACCGCCCGCTCCCCGCCTCGCCGGGCCGCGGCCTGCAGGCGCCGGCGGTGACTCCGCAAAACGCGGGGCGCCGGAGCCCGAAGGGGCGCGGGGCCCCGGCTGGGCGGCGCAGGCAGAGCCGGCTGTGCCCCGCCGAGGCCGCGCTGGTGCCGCCGCGGGCCGGGGTGCCGGGGGTACCGGGGTGCGGAGTGCCGGGGTGCCGCTCTCACCATCGCGCCGCCACCGCCCCGGAACCGCCCGCACCGCCACGGCCCGAGCGCGTCACTACGGGCAGCGGCGAGGGACAAGCGGCGCGCGGGGCCGAGCGCGGGTGTGGCGCCGCAGCGGCCGGCAGGGAGCGCCGTTGGCCCGCGCTGTGTCCGGCCGGGCGCGCCAGGGGAGCGCGGCCGGGGCGCGGCAAAAGGAGCGGCGGAGCTTTAACGTTACTGCGGCTTTTTCCTGCACCTGAGCCTTCCTTCCGTCTCTTGCATCAGCTAGTCAATGTAAAAACGTTTTTGTGTGTGCTGTAAGAATTGCTTTTCTTGTGGCAGCACTTTAGGATCATGGGTGAAGTTTTCAGGAAATCTCTCCCTCCACAAAAACATAACTTTGGTACTGAGTTCTACTGGTCTGTGGTGTCCCTGGGGAGATGCAGGAGAACCTTTTAGTGTTGCCACATTGTCTTCATAAAGAAAAGCAAGGCACAATTCTTCCCAGGAATATTTCTGGTTTTCATATTCTCTGAACATCAGAGAAAGAAAACACAATTCTTACCTCTTGCTGCGCCTGTGTTGTGCCAAAGTGGAATGCAATGTGGAGATTGTTTACCCGAAGCGAGGATGTTTTGTTCCCTTGGCCTATCAGGTGTGTGTGTCGGACTGTCAGCTGACAGTCACGGGGAGCCAGAGATGAGTGCAGTTCTGTGCAGTTCTGTGCAGATGTGAGCAAGGGTGAGTGCGAGGCAGATTCAGTTTAGGTCCAACGTATATACTACAGTAGAATAAAGTAATTAATTAGCCTTCTGATAAGACGGAGTCCTCATCATCATTTTCTCTCTCTCGCCAACGTCAGAGTCACCCTTGCTTCGATATTTTAGTGTCTGCTTTTGCCGTTCCCAAAGGCGAAGCCTGGACTCGAGCCCTTTCCCGATCCCGAGGCACTCTGGGTCCCGCCCGTTCCATCTCTTTCCCCTGCTCCGGAGGTGCCGCCCGTGTGCGCGGCCGCAGCGACGGCGCCGTGGCTCTGCCCGCCAGGGCCGCAGCCCTGCCTCCTCCGGCGGGCCTCCAGGGCTCTGCTTTGGGCCAAGGGCACCGCTGGCAGCAGGAAGGTTACAGCCGAGATGAGAGCGCAGCCTAAAAATACTGCCAGCCTGCTCTCACCCAGTCAACGGGCATATAGATTATATTTACATCCATCGCTGTGTTCAGTGTAGAGATCAGAGCATTTGTGAAAAGACGCTTCAGTTTGCAGCAGACAGAAGGATGTGGGATTGTTTTGCTCTGCTTTGATGTTGGTTTTTCTTTCACACTTTCTCTAGAATTCCTGTCTGAGTAGGGAACTTTATTAATTATTAATGTCACTGTCTGAGCTGTGTAGAAAGGTGTGAGGTTTTGATAATTTACTTTGGTTTGGTTCCATTTGCTCACAAGGGTTACTGTTGTGCACTGTGGGTTTAATTTGACTTTTCTATTGTTTTTATTGTTTATGAATTAGCTGCCTTTTTGTTACAGTATCAGCTGTTCTGTAACTTTTAAGGGCATTGAAACAAAATTAAATATAACAGGTATTCTTTGCTTTAATAACGTTCACTTTTTGGAGTTTACAGTCTTACAGGATTGCATCTGTATTTCTTTTAACCTTACAGTGTAAAGATGCTAGAACATTCTTTTCCTCACACAATTCTTCTCCCTTTAACCTCCCTTTAGACTAAGATATACCCATATTTATTGTAAATTATACCGGTAATTGGTAGTTCTAGTTATGATTATCACTTTTTTCTTTGGAAAAATTTCTTTGGGATTTTAGTGCCATGTAGCTTTGCAGACATTTTATCTGTGAGGATTATGGCATAAACTGACCTAAATGGTAGGGGTGTTGGATGAATGTAAAAGCTGAACTTTCCATTTATAAGCTGACAAGACAAATCTGTGACAGCCTATCTGGTTTTTCAGTAGTAATAAATTTTAGAAAATTATATATGAGAGCAAGTATAAAAGAATTTTTCAGACAATCTGGCAAGATTGTTTCCCAGCTCATTCACTTAAAGACATACTATGGAACAGCTGTGACAGAAAACATGAACTGCAGAAGGGGAACACTGTGTTTGGGGTGATCTGGTTTTGGGGTGAATACTGCTGGCAAACTGGAATCGAAAGAGAAACATTGTTCTGTAACCTGGCTGCTTGCCTTAACTTTACATATACAGAATTTTAGTTTGGTACAGATAATGTCAAATCAGGAACTTCCAACAATAAATATTGTATAAAAAATAAAAATTATCCAAGGGTCTCTGATTTCTAGGGTTATTCTTACTAGAGAAAAAAACCCCAAAAGAGTGAGCCAGAGTAACAAGAAGGAACACACAGTCCTTGTTTGTTAAAGATGAACATAGCCTCAGGGGCATCAAAAAGCTCTTAATATCAAAAAATACCGAGACTACTTTAGAGAGGATGGGGTTTTTTGGGCTCTGTTTTTAGTTTGTGTTTTCTACCCCTCTTCTTTATTCTGCAGTGAGCTTACTACTGATCTTTTCGGCATACTGTAAAGCCCTCAGCTCTGTTCCCAGGCCTTCGAGGAGGAAGAGAGCAGCTGAGGGCTGGGAGAATATTGGGCTTGGGATTAGTAAATAGCAAAGAGGTTTATTTTCCCTTTGCACATACAGGAAATTACTAGGATGTTGTTGATGTTAATTTGTCTTTCTTAGTGTATGTCTAGCTGCCTAGAGCTTTTTATGTTTGCATAAAATGAAATAAACCTACAGATTGGAAAAATACTAATCTTGCTATTGCAGCTACATATAGTGGGTTGTGTTTTCAGCAGCTGCAATTTGGACACCCTCTTTTCATAAATGGGCTTTAAACTTACATCATCTTCAATAAATGAATAAAATTACAAGGGTTTAAGGACCATTTACATTTTTTTAAAAGTGTGCACGTGTCAAAGTACCAAATTAACCATTAAGCTTCTCTGCTGCTTACAAGTTATGCAAATAGTTCAGAAATGGAAGGTATTCCTACCCCCTACTAATTGGCAAGTAACAATGTGAAGGATAATTATTAGCAGAATACTAATCCTTATGGGCTCCTCACAGAAACAATTCAGCAAAGGATCTCTTCTAAACTCAAAATAAGGCTTCTCACCTTCTGGAAGTCTTTTGCTTTACATTGTCCATCCATGGGACTATGGACATGACTTTTAAAATTAAGGTGCTCAAATAAGTGCCTGATATCAGGCAACCTGATTGCTTCCTTCTTCTCCCATACCAAATATGGTTTTAAAAATTGTTTTAAAAATATGGTTTTAAAAAATAGGAATGTCACCTTCACCTCCACTGTTTTTCCTGAAGTCTGTACTGTATATTTGAGCCAGTTCATTTTCAAGGAGTGGAAGCCAACAAGCTTCAACCCTAACTACATCCATGGCTCTTAGCTGAAACCTCTTTGATGTGAGTTGTGGGGTATTCACAAAGATTACATTCCCTTAGAAAAGATTCACCTGATGTTTCCTGACTCAAGTCATCAGTCATAATTTCTCTGGTCTTCCTTGACACAGTGTTGTTTCTCATCTGGGAAGGACTGTGGTCCTTATGCCTTCCTGATGTTCCATGCCTTGCTCCCAGTGTGGGTAAGAGCAGCTTCTGCCGCCTCTGCAGTGACTCTGCTGCGTCCCCGAGGCACAAAGAGCTCTTGTCCTGCCTTTGTTTCCCTGTGATGGCCAGGCTGCTCGCCAAGGAAGAGAAGAAACAGGAAATGAAGGCGCCTTGCTAATTCCTGGTTTCACTGGAGAGCCCAGAGGGATGCCCATCTTTAGTGCAGCTTCATGGCTGTGGATAGCACCAAGCATCTGTAGCAGAGTAGAAGGTGAGGGCTGCAGCCATGAGCTGAAACAGCAATGCATGTTCCCACCATTGGTGGTACCAAAGACTCCAGTGAGACTCTTCAGCTACTCCAACTGAAGCAATTTTCTGAAGTGGACAAGTTCTACAGTACATTGGAAAGGAGATGCTAGAGTAGAGGAGAAGTCCTTACACTCTTACTTCTTAAACAATTTGAAAACTATATTTTCTGCATGGCTGCAAATAATCTGTATGAACTTCACATTCTTGGATTTGCTGTCCTCCATTTACACAATCTGAGTTGGCATTTATTATATTCCTAAACATATTTATGCATAGTTTACTGTTGTAAAATTTTATTTCTTGGCAGCAACCACATTAAAGCAACATTTAGGTACACTAAAAATTAATTGTTTTGACAGCATTAGCTACAGACTTGCTTTGAATCTTTATTACTACATATTGATTAGAACAGGGTCATATATGAAAGATTGCTGAGACCATTCTTTAAAATAGCTGATGCACTTAATTTTAACAATAACTAGTTTAAGAGATTTATTAATTAAACTTGGAGTGTACTGTAATATTTTCTGTGAAAACAGAATTAAGTTTTTTTCATCCATGTGAAAAGGAAATATATGTTTTTAGTTAAAAAGCAAGCAGAATGAGTTGACAATGTTGAAGTTTTTTCTCAAGCTTTCTTTGAATAAAGAAATTAATTGTAACCAACCCTTGCCATAGTCTTACTTTTGGAAAAAAACAACCCCCAAACACTTCACAAAAAAAAAAAAAAAAAAAAAAAAAAAAAAAAAAAAAAAAAAAAAAAGTCAAAATGTCCAACCAGATATCCCTAATTAGCTTTGGGAGGAAGTGACATGTTTGTCCATTTTCCAGATTAACAACTACCTTAAATAAAGTTGAGCAAATCTGGTTTTGGTTCTGTAGCCAAAAGGACCAAATTTAATATATCAAAGATTTATTTGAAGGGCAAATGATGCCAAATTGAATAGAGTAGAAAAAACAATTTCTATCTGCAAAGGGCATAGATCATTTTGAGATACAGTTACAGCTGAAGGAAGGTATTGCACTAAAATGTGTGTATTTGAGAGAGTGAGATCAGGAAATAAGGA